AATCAATTTGCAACGGTTATGAGTTACGAAAACAAATTCCACATTGATTGGCTCTTGCACTTTCTTTCCCTGTGTACACAAATAGTCCACGGGAGGAAAATGAAAATTGCATTAGCCTCTGTGTTGTTGAACGGTGAAATCAGCTGATACAATTATGGGCTGTTTAGGAGCCCTACCGGATTAGAATAATGAGAAGAGCTACTTAAACAGGAACAGCTTTAACGCCACAGGTGGAGAAGCAGTTGGTATTACTAACACCCAAAATCAACGTGCTAATGTTGCGAGAGTCTAACAGAAATCAAAAAGATGCTTTAATGTTTTTGTTTTTGACAAATATTACAGATGGATATTCCTAAACTATGAGCTGAATAACGATCAATATAACCTTAAGCTGATCTTGTAACCTCGGCTCTTAAATCACACTGAAAGGCAGAGTTTTAGTAATGCAAACATCTTGAAAGTAGACACACAAATGATTGATTTTATGCACCAAATCTCTTAGCTTGTGCTTTTTTTTTTTTAGGCTGGAGTCTCCAACACGGACCTTGACCATGGAGGCTCCCAGAGGGGTGGAAGTGAGTGCTGCCCAGGGGCCGCTGAAGGTCAGCGGTCGAAAGGATCTACAGCTGGAGTCCACGGAGGGAGAGGTGAGGACGATTAGAAAGGATGCTCCAAGTGAAGACTTTGTGCCCTTGTTTATTTGTATCCCGTTTAGTTTTTTAGTTATAAATGTCAATTCATTTTGTATTTTATTTCCATAGGGTTGGCGTGTGAGATGGGACATATGTTCTCTTTTATGTGGAATAATTGTGGAATAATGGACAATTTACAAATTGTATGTTTAAAACAAAATGCTTTATGACGAGATTAAGACTCTACAGCGCTAAACATAGTACAATTGAGGCTGATGAGTGAACCTGATGATTAAAAAGCACCTTGAGCGATGTTATTTTAAGGACTTCTAGCATGTCTCTGATGTTTTATCTCCCAGATACTTTTAGATGCCAAAACCATTCAGCTGGGTAGTCTCCCGCTCGGCGTCTACACAGAGTCGCCCAATCAGGCCTCCCAGGAGCAGGCCGTATTCGAGGTGTGTGTCTGCCCTAGCGGCAAGATCTACCTGTCTCCCGCAGAGACCAGCTCCACCTGCCAGGCCATGAGCAACATCTGCCTCTGGAGCTGACCTGGGAGCAGTGTTGTTGATGGGGGACATCTCTGACATCTGCTCTGGAGCTGCTGAGATTGAGAATCCTCCGTTGGTACATTTTACGGAGAGTCGAACTCAACCACAGCGGAGATAGAGCTTGAACTCTAAGCTGAGTTCAGACCAGTACGGAAGTATCCGAGTCGGCTGCCTCTGATGGTCTTTTGGATGTCAAGACAACTGACGGGGTTTGAGGAATGGCAGTCAGAGTAGCTCTCTGAAATCAGGAATTTCACATAAGAACAGGAACGTTTCCCACTACCTTATATTGGAGGCAGAGGACACACCCTTTATTTTTCTACTTCATTGTAGACATGCAGTGACTATTTTCAAGATTTAGAAAGAGTAAATGAGAAAGTGAATCACAGGTGCCTTCAGCTTTGAAGGAACTATTGTGACTATTGTGTAATATTGAACCTGTCTTTGTAATCAGAGAGTTAAAGTTTTTTAACATTTGATGTGAGAAAAACAAGTAAGCACAATTCTGTCATGTTTTCTTCCCAAACAATCCAGATTTTTTTTTTTTTAAATAAGCTCAATAGATATTTTAGTTTTTTCTCCTGTTTGCAGCTATTTAATTTGAAATTAAACATGTTTTTATGTGGCACACATTGTACTCGGAAGTTTAACTGTGTTAAAATTAACCAGTTAAAAACAAATGCACATGCTGTTTTGAATGCCCAGGCAAGTTGTGCCCCAGTGACTTCTTCACTTTAAGGTAAATACTCCACCTTTTTCTTGATAATGTTGATGCTACAAGAGAAAATTTGGTGAAAAAAAAAACTGTCTCACAAGAAGGTCCATTAGGAAGCTGTTCTTCAGCAGATGGAGTTTGCCCAGTTATGGTGAGTGTTCTTTTAACATTATAACAAATTAATATGAAGTTAAGTTTGACTCAGTAAATTCTCTATCTTGCTTCTTTTTTGTGTTTTGAAGTCCACTTGCGAAGTTCAAAGAAAGTGTGCTCATTTAATTACCTGCTAGTAATGCTCGCTTCCCTCTGAGACGGCGCTCCAATGTGGAGTTTGACTCGAGAGGCTGGCTGACCTTGGCACTGCAGCTGAGAGCGAGGGAGGCAGGCAGGCATGTGTCAGCAGGCCTGCTGGGGTGCAAAGCCTCGCTCCACTCCACTTCCTCATCCTCCATCATTGCCCTGCGGCAGACGGGCTCGTTTGGTAAGAGCCATGATGGCATTCTAACAATAGCTTAGCTGCCTTGTCCAGATGTTTTTTTATGCTTCAAAGATGCACGATGAAAGATTTTGTTTGTGAAAATGCACCTGTAATGTCACTCTACAACAGAAAAGCGTGAGGTAAGATGCTGCAAGATTCACCTCATTTGCCCAAATTGTATAGTGACTGTCTTTCTGCCAAATTAAGTGACAAATTGTATTTGATTTAAACTAAATTATTTATTTAGATCATGCATTCATATGATGCACCGCCTGACCATAACTGAGTGGCTCAACACAGCTACTATGGTTACCGTGAATGGGAAGGACTGATGCATGTACCAGGAAGAAAGCAAATAAATATCTCAAAAACTAAAAGGACAATTGCACTAAAGGCAAGGGCCTGTTATCATTGAAATAGCACAGTAATGCAGCCGAACAAAGGAGAATAAATTAAGATGGCCTCACTGAGTAGACAAAACAGTCTTCAAGGCATTCTACTTCTTAGCTTTTCTTCTCTGCTTTATATACAGTAAAATATTAATATGTCATTTTTTTGTACCACAGCATTTTACACTTTAGCCATGCTTTCCTGTTTGCCACTCAAAAGGATGAACTTTGACTTCTGTATATGGCGATGTCATGAACATACCTTCTATAGGTTATAGGGTCAAACCTGCGTCATAGAACTGATGTGGAGTAGTGTCTTTCAAGCTCTCATTTAATTTAATTTTAATTCAGTCAGTATGAGAGGTAAACAAGATTACTGCACAACTAATTCAACACATTCCTTCATTTAGTTGAGAACTTACACAGCAGAAAAAAGTAATCAAAAAGTCATAAAAAAAATAAAGAACCTCAATGCTGCAGAATGATTCAGATTTGTATTTTACCCGAAGGAGTTGCATGCCATCAGTTTTGGTTCATCTGGTTAAAATGAATAATTTGTGACAGGTTCAGTATATTGACTTTTCTGTGTTTATTTGATTTAAAAAAAAAAAAAAAAAAAAGAAAAGGATTGTGTTATCTTGCGTGACATCACTCGATCTGCAGACATGTTCTTGAATGCAGTTTATCCTCGCTGCAAGGAAATGTAATTAGCACAGAAACCTATAGGGTATAGTATTAATCACTACTAGTCACAAGTGGTAATGGTTTATCTAAATAATCTATCAGAAAGTTTCCCTTATCTAGGAATTTCTCACAGATTTGGAGAGCTCTCCAAGTTGAATCTTCACTCCAATACTTAGCTTGTGCTGCCACCTATGGCTTCAATCCGCTCCATTACTGCCTGGACAGAGGGCAGAATTTATTTGCAAATATATCAGCGTAACAATTAATATTCTGGGTTAAAGACCATATTTAAGTAAAGAGACAGGACAACTGATTATAAAAGAATCTTTAATTCTTGAATGAACTGTAACTTGATGAAAATAAACAGTAAATGTATTGAAGTGATTCTGATTATAGATCATTTAGATAAATGTAATGAGGCTCTTATGATTCCTGCATGTGTGTATATCAAATGTCTCAGACAAATATTTTGAACGCTTCACCACCAGCTGTGATATACTGTACATCGACTTAAAATAAACAATTTTGGCATAAAGAAGCATTTATTAACCTGGAATCAGCTCGCATAGTATACTTTAAGTCAAACTATAATTTCTTTAAAGTTAGTCATTTTCAGTGACTAATACATTTATTCGTTAAAAAAATAATTTCTACCAAATAAACATTCATTTCTCGTCTACTGATAATGGTTTGCAAAGCCTTACAAACCTGTAATGGACATAAGTGGTTATGCTTTATATTGAGAAGGCCAGTCGGACCCGTTTACAGGCGCCTCTCTCTTCAGTAGTTGCCTCTGTAGTCTGGGACTGGTCTGTAAGAGCGAAAAGGTCTTCTGCTTCCAACTGCATTCCACGCTTCACTGTACTCGCTCTGCCTGTAACCAATAGATGAGAACAAAGCTTATGAAAAACAACAGCCTCAAATCAAATACTGTGGTCGGTTTAACAAACAAACCGCTTTGAAACGGTTATTTGCTCCAAACTAGTCCTATCCCGCCTTCATGAGAGCTATATGTACACATATTGAGCCTATTCTTATTGCTATAATAGAAATGCATGTCGGTATAAAGCAGTACAACTCAATAAAAATGTGACTAAACTGCCAACTGGGTTCAGCAGCACAGAAACTAAAAAGTGAATTATTCTGTTACGCTTAGGTTAATTTAGAGAAAAATATGCTGACCAACTACTTTTATTTTATACTCCATTTGAAACAATTACAAAAACAGCAATTTCTGATTAGCAAGGCAACCAGCAGAAGGACACTGAACAGATAACATGTTATTCTTCGAGTATGCAAGGCCAGCAGTTTCTTATCCAACACCAGAGAAGAAAGCAAATATACACATTTAGTAAAATGTGGGATTAAAAAAAAAAAAAAAAAAGCACTAACCTCATATTATCATCTTGCAGGTCCACAGCTTTGATGGCAGATCTGGAAATCCCCAAACCTTGAGGAATCCTATCTGGATACCTCACTGCAATCTTCATGCCGTTCAGCTCACACCCCTGAAGAAGTGAACAAGGATCCCCAAAAAACTGTTTTAGAGGCATGAATATCAGCAGGCTGGAGAAAATCCTGTCTGCCACCCAATAACTGTATGCAATCTAAGAGTACTTACATGGAAGCGTCTGATTGCTTCATCACAATGCTCTTGTTTTGTAAAGTTAACGAAGGCACATCGTTTGTAAGTCAGAACCTTCACACTACTAACAGCCCCGACCCTGCAAGAGAAGACGACATTACTATGCAACTCATGTATCTGACTACAAAGGTTAAGCTGTGGAAAACTCTGCTTTAGTGTCTCACAGAAATGAACCTAATGCTCTCTTCTTACTTGCTAAACATGTTTGCTATCACAGACTCGGTTACTGGGTAAACCAAGTTTCCCACCCAAACTGGAAACAGCTCCCTGTTGAAAGAAAAGTGAGTCTATAAGAACATGAAAAACACCATCTTCATAACAAAGTCTAAACTACATGACACATTTCTAATTTTAGGAGAAGCAATACCAATAAGTACAGTCTGTAGAGGACGTAACAAGAACTGATCATTCATACTGGCCAATATTGGTATCCATTATGCTTTAATTTACATATTGATCTGCATGTTAAAGTTCAAACATTTAAGGGAGAATTCTGGCTGTTTGAAGCGGAGACGAGTTGCTGGAGGACAGAGCTCGTTCCTGCTGCACATCATTAATCATGCTCCAGTTACAGACAACATTTTACCCTTCACATAGAGGAAGCCTCGATAAAGCTCATTTGCCAGTAAGTACCTTCAGTTATTATATAGTGAATATTAAGGCAGTACGGAGATGCCACTTGGGCAAAAAATTACATCGGGCTCGGTGCCAATTTATTTTACAACATGCAACTTAACTAAAACATCAGATTCATTAAGACTCCACGGGCAAGATAGTTTGCATTAATTAACAAATCTCAGAGGTAACTATGGCTACTTTTAAGGACAAAGTGGATAGTGATCCATGTTTCCTTAGAATTAAGCTACAAGAAGATGTGATAATATTTAAAACAGAATGCCACTGAATAACCACATCACAGCAGTTGTAATAAGTGTTAATTCATAATAAAAACGTTGCCGTGTGATTGAATCTGTACTCACTGCGGTGGGTGCATGTTGTTGGTCTTCGTGGGTTGACTATGGACATTCGACATGTTCTGAACTGGGCCTAAAGGTTTGTTCTGAAATGCTGGTTTTGGTGGAGCAGGGATTGTGTTGGCTGAAAGGACTGGCGAGACTCCGGTGACATTTGCTACTTGAGCCGGTTGGACAGTGCCATTTGAATGAATAGATCCTACCAACAAAGACAATTTAAAAAAATTGTAGTGTACAAACATACTTTCAAGTACGCTACTCATAATGTAGCATGTGTACAGTACGAGTTTAGGAAATGAAGCCTAAACAGGTGAGCTACAGCTATGTTTGTATTTCCTCTGATGCATGGCAGTATACACATGTGAAATCACTCACCAGGCCGGTGGTTTAGTTTGGACAGCACTTCTAGTGCCTTTTGTACCGTCTCATGAATAATTAAAGCATTTGAGCTCTGCTCCCGAGTGAAACCATACTCCTGAAACAGAACACAGAATTCCAGTTTCCCTTCAGTGAATTATCATCTATCCACTTCCCTTTAAGACAGGACCAGAACCGGTTAAACTCTCACATTGCTTTTTAGTGTGCTGACTTCTTGAATAGACATATGGAAAAAGAAATGTGGGACTACACACCATTAGTTGTGTTATCTGCACCCGCATCAGTTCCTGGGCAGCCTCCGCATATGAACTGTCCAGTTTGAGAACCTCCCTGAAGGCCTGGCCAGCCTCCTCGTACCTCTGGAAGAAGAAGAAGAACAAACGATGAGCTTCCACCACCTGCTACCCCCGAGGACTAAATCAAAGCTCAAGCTCACTGAAAGCCATCCTGCTGGAGAAATCCGCCCAGTTATTAGTAATCAGTTAATGTTTAGAGCAACAGCTAGTCAAAACAAGTTTGAGTAGATAACGATGTGACCCTGCACAGCTCAATGACATTTTGAATGAAATCAGTGGTGTTGCAACAAGGCCAAATTGACTAGTCATTCCAACTAAAATTGCTAAGATGTGAACATACATACATACATACATACATACATAGAAGGGAGAAAACACTAAACAGTGGCCCATGGGCTATAATCAATACAAAATTCTACTGTGTGACTAAAAAACTAGAAACACGGCAGTGGGCTCAAGCACTCTGAGATAATGAGCTAGATGCCGCTGTTGCAAAAGAGTCTGCGTGCTGGACACAGTTAGATGCGTCCCACGCATCAACATGACATGTATAAACAGGGCACATATAGGAGACCATTTACCTTTAGACCTGCCAAAGCTCTGCCCCGCCTAAACAGGCCTTTAACCCAGCCCGGCCACATGCTCAGAGACAACTCGGCATCAGTCAGCGCCTTCTCATATTCTTGCATCTTTTCAAAACAGAAGGAACGATTGCCAAACAACCTGCGGCAGAAATAACAGTTAAAACCTTTAATGAAAGCCAGTGGTGGTGTAAATTTACTTTAAATTAAGTAAAGGGACATGCCCTTACTTAAACTCTGTAGGGTTGTACTTTATTGCATCGGTGAAGTATTTCACAGCCATATTAAAGTCTCCAGCACTTGCAAACCTATTTCCAATAACTATAGAAGAAGAAAGAAAAACATCAGTTTAAAAAAAAACAAAAACATTTAATAGTTGAGAGTTTGTAAATGAGATGGATAAAGCTTACCTGCAAGATCAGTACTTATTTTTACATTATCTTCAAAAGCAGGGCTGCTGCGGGTGGCAGAATCCTGTTCGGACAGTAAGAGAGAAATGAGATGATCGAACTTATCCCAAATAATACGGTCAAATCTGTCGTCGTAGGAATTGTATTTATCATGCGTCGTCTCTGTTGCGAAGGTGACTTAAACCTCACCTTCTTTTCAACATCCGGGTCTTCGTTAGGTTTGTCGGGGACGATTTTAGGTTCTTTGACGGGCGTCTTTTTTTTCTCCCTCATCTCGGGCTTGGGCTTCTGCTCCAATTTACGCCTGGCTATAAGAGCAGCTTTACTCACAAAAGTGCTGGTCATGTCCAGTTCCTTAAAAAGAAGAAATAAAGAACAAAGACACGTTTAGGCCCTGATCAGACCGAGTGTGTTTTAGGAGTGGGAAACGCAACGTGCACTCAAGATGTGTATAGATTATATGTCCTTTAAAATGCATTTCATTCATATTACAGTGCTGTCCCCTTCATTGGATAACACACACATAAATTCCAGATTTTTAAAACAAACTTTTTTTGTTGTTGACTCACACTTCTTAAATGAGAGGACTATGGATTGTAATTGGTACCTCAGAGTCGCCCGAGTCATTCCTGGTGTCGCTATCTTCATCACTGGATTCGTCGTCACTACTGCCACTGCTGTCTGTATCTTTTGCTGAGGCACACTGTTTATCACTAGAAATGGTATTGATTTTGGATTCATCGTTAACTCGTTTGCTGCCCTCTGTTTTAGATTGCTGTGAATCAGAAAGAAAGAATGTTAAAGCTCGCAGCTCGATGAAAATGTGTTGGAGGCTCGCATCAGTAATAAAGACGTTGCACACATTGATCGTTACCTCTTCACTTTTTATAGGGTTGCGTTTTTCCCTCTCCAACTTCTGAAGCCGTCTTTTCTCCTTTCGTTTCTGTAGGACGAGAATACACAATGAAAAAAATTGAATCTACACAATCAGGCATTAACTCACCGCTATGAAACTCATATTAGAGATTGTAGAATTTACCATTTTCTTAAGTCGCTTCTTCTCAGCCTTTTCCTTCACTTTTTTTACTTCTTCTAATAATCTGGCTTTTCTTTCAAAGTCCTACAAGAGTTGCAAAAAAACATTGTATGGACTTCAACCACTTCACATCATAACAAAACCATCTATTTGACAAGAGAGGCAAAATAAAAGTGAACTTACACTCTCCTTTGCTTCAACTTTTACAGAGTGCGGGCAAGGAACCTCACGTGATGAAGCGTAGTAATGCAGTGGAAGCGGATAAACAGAGCCGGACGACCTTGTATGGCTCCCACTTAATCCTCTATCACGACTCTTGTCAGTTCCATCCTCATCATCGCATTTCATACCCGCTAGGAAAGATAATTTCACAAATAAAAACACTGAAAACAGACTTGTGTGTGTGTGCAGCAGATGTGTAATGCAACATATTCTTACCAACAAGGCCAAGTCTTACTATCTTTTGAAAACCAGGACGACACTCAAACAAATCCATGACCCTTTGCTAGAGAGGAGAAAGAGAAATGTGATGGTCAGTTCCACACACAATTAGCTCAGTACCGTCAGCCTTGAAACATTGTCCTTAACTTAGGCCCCATTGTACTCGAAACAAAAGAAAGGTAGGAGTGTTCACAAGGCTGTGTGCCAATGCCAGTACTGAATGTGAACCGGAGTTGCAGTGAGTGAACACTAAAGCACGGCTTCCGAAGGTTTCACTTTCATTTACCCGTGGGAAGATGACTCGCTGAAATCAACACCAACAAGCTAATATCCGCGCACTAGTAAAGCTAACAACTCTGGAGACTGCATCTAATTTGGTGAAATGTACTGTAGGAGAGCCGTTAACTAAGCAGTGCACGTCAGCAACAGTGGCGTTTGGGCACATGTTTGGAAAACACACAGCTACATCACGAGACAAAAGCATGTAAACAAAGACAGGCAAATGTTTGAACTTCTTTATCCAATCACAGGTGAGGCGATGCAATCCAAGTAAAAGACTCTGACTACTCTTGACATTGATCGGTAGCATTTTGATGTTTGTGTCTGGTGCTCTCCTGCCAATGCAAAGAGGAAAAACATGCAGGCCACAAGCAGACTGTACAGGTAAGCTGTAAAAGGCAGTGATATCCCAATTAAAGAGATTATGACACCAATAAAAACAATGTAGCATTCAACACAGGGAAGGAGGTTCTGCAAATGTTTTATCCCAAATCTCTATAAACAGATTCTGCATTCACAAGTGGAATCTGTACATAGAATATATATGTATACACACACCGCTACTTAAATTTAACAATGACAGTTGCTAGATCACAAAATGCCTGGAAGATATATCATCGCCAGTATCGTAATTCACTGTAAACTGGATGCTTGTGAGCATTATAACTTCAGGTTTTAAATATATCAGACCAATTCAAACGAATACGAGTGTATTTGTTACTTATCAATGCTTAACTCACATCTTGTTTGGCTTATTGTTTTGTATGGCAACTAATGTTAACTACGCACTTTTGTTGAAGAATATATAAACAGGAAGTGAATGTGCGCACTGTGGAGTGCAGTAAAACAGGTCAAAGTTTGGTCTGGGGAATTCATTACTAGCTTCAAAATACAAGATGGACGACGGTTAATGCAATATTTGGGACCGTTCCCCAGGCTTTAATATCATACCCATGTGCGCTGACCCACAAACCAAGAGCCAACATACGGGAGCTAACGTCCTGTTGTCTTTGATCTGTGTGCCCAAAAGCTAAAGAAAGTTTAAAACATATACTTACGACCATTCGGACATCAGTAAACTCTGAAGAAGAAGACGACAAGCAAACAATGTAATTATATGTAGAATAACTGTATAACACAACCAACAGGGTTATTCGATGATGTATCAGTAGATAGCGGTAGGTAACTTCCTACTGTGACAATCGCGCTAGCCTGTTAGCTAAACTCGCCGCAAACTTTTTATAGAGGCTAATAGGCATGTTCTTACCACTCTCGTCTCTAAATATATCCATGTTTAGTCACCCATGCTTTTCCCAAAGCCTCATACACTCGTGAATGCAAGTTAATTGCACACAAAGTTGAATTAATTTAACGTAAGCAGCCTGTAACTTTTGCAGCGTGCATGTTGTTTGCGCGCTCTTGACCAGCTTCTGCCTTCATCACGTGGGCGGACGGAACTTTTTGTACGCATGCGCACTGTGACACCACAGACCAGCGAAGCACCTTTGCTGCCCCCTATCGGACCCATGCTCACACAGCAGTAATACTATTCTATTACATTACTTCTAAATTGGTATGACTCCAGCAAGCCACTAGACTAATATATTTTACACATAATATATCTTTTTAATTTTACATTTATTTAATGTGAATAGTGCTTCAATGGTTCTTACTCTTTGCACGGCTCTCGTTCTGGTGTAATAGCTTTGTTTCTCTCTACATTTCTTGCACAACAATCATTTAACAGTAAAACTGACATATCCCATTTTCTCCAATTAAAACAGCAAAATTACAATTTTAAAGATCGTTAATACATACAGTACAAGGAATGTCACACAATTAGTCAAAATAATTCAGTAGCGAGCACATTTTCTTTTGATGAAAACTAAATATCAAACAATTCGACAGCATACATTATAAAGTACCCTTGATTAGGTCATGGTTGCTGCTCCTATGCACGGCACACATGCCTTTAAATTTTCATCTTTAATATTAAAATTGAATTCAAAGGCATTCTGAGAACCTTTTGCTAAACTAGTCCTGGTATTAAAAATGTTAACCAATTTATGTTTGAGACCAATGATGCAATTACATAACTACTATTGCTTTGACATCATGGACCCACCTCATACAAGGCAATGCCATAAAAGGTTATGAAAAGGCATCACATGGCTTCTTCTCTCACAACCAGTGAAAGGGCTGCTGCAGTTCTAGCTCCCGTTTACTATAACTTGCAAAGCAACCTCCTTTGGTCGAGTGGTGAGAAGTGGTGGCCTTATCTCCTTTATTTAGTGTTTAAAGGTCAACCCCGAGTCACAAACGCTTCTCAGTTGCCACATGTTAATGTAAGTAACAGCAACAAAGAGCCTCCATTATAACCTGAATTTCGGTGTGAAGTTTTTGAGATTAACATTAGGAAACCGGCATCAGGGACTTGCCTGGATCTAGACCTTTGAAACGATCAGTGCCAGGCGCAGGCCTAGCGTTATTGTTAAGAGTTGTCAGTTGTGCGCTGGAACCGGGTAGTAATACTAACGACAATGGAGACCGCTACAGACAACATTGATGCGTCTGTAGGCTGTTCTAAATCAGTTAAAAGTACTGAACAGCACTCTGCGCTGATGTACAATGTACTGCTACGAGGTTGAGATTTTGGCACAGCTTCATTTTCCGTGGCGTCTTTGTTGGCTTGTCACGGCCCCGATCCTCTACTCTTCTTGAGCCTCCCTCATTTGTGTCCATAACTGCAACGTTATGCTCTGACTGCCAACTCTTTAGCTATTACATGTAATCTAAAAACTTAACACACATCCTTCCAGAATAGATGTCTGGTCTATATGTGACAAATACCCCGACATCTCTGAATAGTTGGTCTCTGGTCAGAGAAAATCAAACCCCTCAACCCCCGTGGAAATTGATTAGAATGTCAGTCTGAAGATGGAAACAGACTGTAACAAGTCAACAGTTTTGTTTGATATCAGGCAAATCAGGCTGTCCAGTGTGAATCTTCCCTTCATTGTATAGTTCTTCCATGGCGTACAGAAAAGGTGACGAGTCGGTGGTAAACAGAGCTGAGGAGGATGATGGCCACTACCACCATGCCACAGATGAGGCCGAAGGCCCAGCGGGGTCCCAGGATGGTATAGGCCTGGGAGACAAAGACTGGGGCCACCGTCCGCGCCCCACTCCCTGAGGCCGTCAACCAGCCCATGTACACACCCTGCACACAAACAACAGAAAACATCCACACTCTGGGTTCTCAAAAGATAATTGTAATAATATAGAGAAATGTATGGGCACACTCAAAGTGGTTTAAAAGGACCCCAATCATTTCAACTTGTTAAAAGCAACACAGTCCTCTTACCTGAGGTTTGGGTCCTAGGATTTTGGAATACAGTGTGTATGACATCACGTTGCAGGCTGGGTATCCCACCCCGATGAGGATGTTGGATGAGATGTACTGGGCCAGATGGATGGCAGGAGTGTACTGGCACCAGATCTGTTCATATGGGCAGCCTGTTGGCTCTATAGAGTTGTTGGAGGCTTTAGACCTTTGACTGACCAAAGAGTTGTTTTTGAGGTCTGTATTTTGAAAGGAAAAACAGAACATGAATTCTCAGCCAGACTGAGTCCATTATCTTTCTTTAACCGCTTATCCTGTTCGGGGCATTGATGACACATATCGAGAGAGAGAGAGAACCATTCACACTCATATCCACACGTACGAGCAATTTAGAGTCATCAATTTACCTAAGCTGCATGTCTTTGGACTGTGGGAGAAAGCCACAGAAGGCCCGTCTAGCCCGGGAATCAAACCCTCACTTGCTGTGAGGCGACAGTGCAAGCCACCACAGCACCCATGCAGCCCGGTGGGCATTTCCAAGTCATCCAGTGTAACTCTCAGCTGTATTCTTGCCGCCCCAAGAATTGGCAACACTAAACACCAATATACTAATGTCCCCACACTCAAAGCAGAGAGGCCAAAGAGTATCATTTTAATCAAGAGAAATCAGCAAACCGAGCCAAAAGGCAAATCATTCTGCAGCTATTAATTACTCAACAGAGGAAACTGAACAGTGCATACCTGCCCACTGGATTTTCGGATAATGATTCCCCCATGGAAGCAGAATAAAGAAACCACAGAATATAATGGCCAAGCCTGCTAGAAACACAGGACGATCCCCGATCCTGAAAGAAAATAATGAATTTGGTTAATCGTGGAGAAAGTTTGACGCTGAAATATATTTTGATCTAATCCATACATGTATGAAGAAGGGTACCTTTCAGATGCCACTTTTACAGCTAGAAACACCAACACGGATTGTAATCCAATGCAGCAGATGATGATGCCATTGTACAACACAGCTTCTTTCCTTGTCCAAGCGAACATGTCCATGGACAAAGGGGTGGCAATCCTGAAAAATTATTTTAAAAAAAAACCTACAGTCAGATTTAGAAAACGTTATACAACAGAGTATAAAGAGGCGGCCGAAAAAGTAGCAATACGTGTCTTTGTTGTATTCCAACTTGTCTGCCTCAGTAGACTGTAATGGAATACATACGTCTCATAGACCGCAAAGATGAACATGACGATGAAGAAGAGAACGTTGGAAGTCAGGACTGCGATCTTATCAATGGTCTCCTCAGTCTCTTCACTAATGTCATCTCCATCTACAGGAAAGGGGAGAAGATAACAAAAGCATGAACCAAATAGCAAAGACCAATATCCTGCAACGACAACTAGACATTTAGCAGTGAATGTATTATCTTTTTTTTTTCCTTTTTTTTTTTAAAAATAAATAAATAAATAAATAAATAAATAAATATATATATATATATATATAAAAAAAAACCACATTTCTCAGTGGTACTAATAGAACAGGCCTGGACTTGGGCTGCCTTGTGACATGCTTTCTTTTCTGGTAATGTCAAACAGTGTCCACTAAACTTATGATCACTTCTATAGATCTCTTAACTGGGCCTCTGCTGCAAACTTCTTCTTTTTCTGTTCTCTATATCACCACATTAATCAAAATCTGTGATAAAAAAAAAAAAAAAAGGGGAGTAGGACAATAAATACCTTCCGATATGTAGTTGATGGCTCGAATACGTCCACGCTCATCAACACGGTGAGCTCTGTTGACAAGTATCCAACAGACATCTTAGCCACTCTAAAATAACATTGAGAAACTCAATACTATACAATAAACTGACAAAAGCATAGCTAATGGATAAAAGAGTATGTGGATCT